TATTATAAGACAATGATTGACTTTTTAGTTTTTAATTAATAAAGTTTATTTCAATTTAAATTTATACAATTTTAAAATTATGTATATTCTATTTTTACTATACTAGTGATTTTTTTAAACTTTTATTATTTCTATTTGGAATTATTTCATAGTTATTAATTATTATCTAAGTTGTCAATTTAATAATCTACTTTAAAGTATATTTATTTGTTTTTTTACACGTAAATATCAAAGCTTGTACAAAAAGTTAATTATTTATAAGCATTTAAAGTTTAGATGAATAAACTGAGAATGGTACTTTAAATTTTCACGGAATACCCCGCGCTCCGCCATTCATCTTATCTACTCGTACTTAAAAACTTTAAATGCTTACAAATAACTAATTATTATTGTTCAATATTTGGTATTTTTCCATCGGAATTCCTGGAAAAATAATTTCATTTTACGAAATATTAAATGAAAAATACACGGATATTTTTTGAAATAAAAACTTAGAGTTAAGTCAACAATAAAAACAAAAATAATTTTAAACCATCAAAATTCCATACAAAAAATCAAAAAAAAATCCTAAGTGTTTCACCATCATGTATAAAATATAAATGCAATAAAAAAAATCTTTACCATCAAATAGACTTCGATTCTATAATTTTTATTGTCCATTATCGCTGCACTTTAAATTTTAAGTTATGTTGCAAAACTTATAAGTTTTATAGTTTTATGCACATATAATATAGGTATATCGTTATATGTTATACTCCAGATTTCATAAGTATTTGTGTGAATCTGTTATTCTATTATTGTCATTAAATTATTAATGTTAAGTATACTTATTCAATCAGATGTAGGATATAAGGATATAATAAGCATGAGATGATTAATCTTTTGAGAAATGGTGTTAAAACACACATTATTGCCTGTTAAGTGTGTGTATTTGAATAAATAATTTATATAAAATAAACAAAATATAATATACAACACAATATGTCAGTAACAGAAAATTATTTAATAACTATTTTAATTGCAAACGTTTCTATTGTAATAATATTATTTATTTTTTTTTTAAATATGAATATTTTATCAAACTATATGACGGATTATGGGTTAAAAATACTTACAATGCTTATATTATAGTTTTATATTACCGACGAAATATTAGCAGGCACCTGCAGCACTACGATAGTAAATCCGAGTATAGGTCACCAGTTAAAACGAATACACGTCGGCCATGTGTGAGGGGTAATTATTATTCTCGTCCGTTCCTTCCTTCCGTTTTCTATGTATTTATAAAGCTCTGTATATAAAAATATATCTGCAGTGTGTTTCATTTTAAAGTTAATGCAAAATATTTTAATTCAGTAACATCGATTAAAATTTGTTTTTTTAGAGGAACTGATAAATTCCAAAACACACATTTTTTAACAATTTTTAAATTCTTAGCCTTAGCTCTTTTAATTGAGCAATGACAACAACAAGGAAAAATAAAGCAAATATTTCCAAGACAAAAATTTACTAAATAAATTAGGAATTATTACAAGGTTAAAAAAACAACAATCAATTTTGAATTTAAACGATTAAATTAACATAAAAAAAATTGTGCATACGCTTAATTAAAGGGCCAAATATTTAAAAATGTGTACTTTAGTATTCTGAAGCTGTTCTTCCAAAAAAACCCATTTCAATGCAAGATCATTGGACACAAATACTCCATGCTATCTCTAAAAGGAAACACCGTATAACACTTATCAACTTATAATATACTGGTATATTAGTAACAAACATCGCAGCCTCAACAACAGGTCTGCATAATCTATTATTACATCTACATCAAATATATAATATAAATAATATATATAAAAATAAACCAAATATAATTTCGTTGTATTTGTCCTTAATGGTCAAAATTGCTTTGAATGTTTTTATAAATCATTCCCGCCACCGTCGCTTTAAAAAAAAAAAAAAAAAATGCCGCATTTTAATTCGATAGAATCTATTAAACTCCGTCCAGGCTCACTATCGCGGAAAAAAATCAAATCGATGCTGCTAACTTTGATTATACCTATAGTATTATATAATTTACCAAATAAACGGCAAAACATCATCGACGATTTTGAACATATTTTCATTTTAATTATTTCACAGAACATTTTATTACATTTACAAGGCACTCCCTTTACCGCTTAACTGTAGTACTGCAGTAGGTAGTAATATTATTGATAATATAATTTTAAAAGCATTTCTTAATCATTTAAAAATCGAATTTCAAATTATAACGGTATAAAATAATAAACATTTTTTTTTTTAATATATAAGATAAATTAATAAGAAACATTAGTAAAAATGATTTCAAACGAAGTATGTTAAGAACAAAAAATAATAATACTTTCATAGAACCAAATTTTCCAAATTACCGAGAAAGTCACTATTCTTCAGTGGTGCACACTAGAGGGTTCTAGGGTAACAGCTGCTACCCCTAAGATTATGGTTTAAAAAAAAATTGAATATAATTTGTAGTTTTAAATGTAATATACTATAAATTTTATAGTTATAATAATTACTTATTAATAAGACCTAGTTAGAAGATGTTAGTTAAAGAGATTTGAGGACAAAGCCCCCGCGTGTTTGTTTTTGAAAGCGATTTGGTAAGTGGTATATTTTCCATTGAACATGCTACCTCTATTTATATTTGAGTGTGCGCCACTGCTATTTTTTAATTAAAGAATTGTCTTGTATAATATACACTCCATACATAACAAACTTTAACCATAATAAGAGCAGTAATCATATAATAATAACATCGTGAGTATAAGACTTTTTTCTAACTTGAAATAAATCCCGAAATCTTCGTTTTTACGACCATCATATTATAATATGCACGTCATCCCCATCGCATATTCGAGATAAGCTTTCGTTTCGTCTTCCACCTGCCATTCTACATGATTGTTGTAAATTGTCAAACGACGTGCGTTTCATATTTTTGACAAATACGCGATGTTTTTTTCCACAGCTTTCTGCGCAAACAGCGTATACCAAGCGTATTATTTTCTAAGGATATTATTTTTATTGCTTTATTATTAAATACATTTTTTTTTTTTTTTTTTTTAACAAACGGTTCAACCCCAAACATTTCACAAAGTTTAAAAAAGAACGCTATATCGTATCCTTAATCGTAAAAAGTTATACCAATATTTTTTCCTTGTTTATACAACCAAACCGTTTAATTATTCCAAACACTTTTTTATGGATTTGAGTAGTAATTTTTTTATAATTTTAAAGCGTGATCTACATTCTCCTTCAACTAAAAAACTTTTAAACCACAAAATTATAGAAATCGGCGGATTTTTAGCATGTTAATACGTTCTGTACCGGTAAATTTTATACTAATTTATGTTTGAATAATGACATTATATGCCTAAATTATTTCGAATATTAGTGGATTAGCTGCAATATTAGACTATTAAAAAATAATATCAATAATATAAGACAACAAAATATTATAAAATGATGATTTTTACTATTACATTTGTCAACACATATCAGTAATAATTTATAACCACTATTTATTGAACAAAAAAATCATAATATAAATATATTGTGTGATATATTTTTAAGACACAAAAAAATGTGTATAATATTATAAATTTTATATTATTACGTAACAAATAACTTAAAAAGTAACTTTTTTTTATAACAATTTAATAAAAACTAAAAAAAAATATTTTATTTTTAATTTCAAAAAGCACATTGCATACATAGTATTTTATCATATAACGCGCATGCTATCACTTTATTATATAAACACATTACACATAGCTATTACATTATACACTATGTGTACTGTAATTACCTACAACATCGAGCAATAAATAAATGATAAAATTTTCATTTTTAATTAATAAATACGTACCTACGTATTATAGACGTATTTAAATAATTTTAAAAAAGTTTTATCGCAATCGTTTTACAATGATGATTATATTATCGCGAATTTATTCCAAGATAATACAATAACTTTTGACTGAGCAAAATCCGTAAAAAAGCGTACAATAATTTTATTCACATGCACGCGAAACGGTCGTTTCCTACTCGTGAAATAAAATCATTTGTACTTTATTCGTAAACATGCAACGAATTATTAGTTTATTACTTATTCGTTATTATCGTAGTGTCATAATATTATAAAATATAAATTATGTTGTATACGTTAATAAATAATTTTGTAATAATATTCTAGGTTAGATTATAATATAGAGGGTGATTCATCTTGGATACTCATCCCCATTATTCTTCAATAATTCAAAATTTGATTTTTGAAATTTTTAAATATACTTAAATTTCTATTTTTTAAACAACAACCTTTTTTTCTAATTTAAATTATTTATCAGATATTTTTATTAAAAACGTCAACGTATCAAAATCAAAATTCGAAAGAATAGTTTTTAAGTTATTTAACTATATGCACTAAGGATAATTAATCTATAATAGTTAGTTTGGAAGATATAGGAACTATAGGCGATGGTTATTTAAAAATTTTAGTGATTTATATAAATCAATAAATATTTATAAATAACAAAAATAATCCAAGTATTAATACCATTATTATCCGATATTGTAACATTTGTATTTATTTTCTATTTTTGTAAAACTGTTTTTAAAGACTTTTATGCTTTATAAACAATTATATAACTGAACCCTACTCGTTAAAATTTTTAATTAGATACATAAAAATGGTCAAAAAAATATCTACTAAATAATTAACAATAAAAAAAAGGTTTATAGTTTTAAAAAGAAAAGTAATATGTACCATAGAACATCTCTTAAGTAATACAATAAATCTCAAGAATTAAAAATATAATCTTTAAATATATTATTGAAAAATTCTAAGAATTTTAATTTAAATGAAAAAAATGGGCATGAGCATGCTTGTCAAATCACCCTGTATAGTATCTGTATATAATATGTGTAGATGACTATGTGTATAATTATATAATATACATAAATACCCATTAACTGCAAAGTTAGGCTCGTATATATGCGCTCAATTACAACGTTTTGTTTGTTGTTGTTGTTGTTCAATGCGCACGCACTCTTCCTGTTACTGCTGTAATGTTATATATAATATTATGTTAATTTTCTAGCAGCAGGTCGACAAAATATAATAATTGTAAATGCTTATTTGTATAAAACAAATAATAATGCGTTTAATTATTTTATTTTTACTTAATAGGCTTTAGTGACTTTACTCTATACTCCGTCGATGACGTACTCAATGAAAGAGATCGGAGTGACTACATAAAACTGAAACTGCTAAATCTAAATATTGGTATGTTATGCATTAGTAAGAAGACAACACATGCATGTATGACGTCCTTTTAAGTGTAGAGGTGTGAACAGAATACAGAGTGAATACTCTATAACGTGTAATGGACAATGAAACGTGGTCTACATATGTCATAAACACAGACATTATGTAGACATTAAAGTATTAAAACAATAATACTAGTACATATATGGAAGTTAAAGAAACTCAGAAATTTCCAAAATCTCAAACTATCAATTTGTCTTGTGTAATTTGGACAATATGGTGGGATGCAGGGGTAGTGCAAGTTTACCCTCCTCCTCACAGGTAATTTTAGTCAATTCTTCAAACCTATGAACTTATTATAAATTCCAAAAACTGACTTCAAAATATCAACATCGGAATACGTTACAATAAAACTGTATAAATATTATAAAATAAACCCATCCAAAAGGACCGTTGGTTTCATCGAGACTAACAATGTATTCAAGACGTCGTTTATGTATAGACGGCACGTGGATAAAATAATATTATTTTATCCCTTGGTTATTATACGTTTACGCACAACGGTATCTCTTTATGTTTCATATAAGAGTTTCGATAAATAAAATATATTTTTTCACATGAAGTATATAAGTGTAATAATACTCACCCATATATTATATATTATGTGTAGGTAAACATATGCGATAAACTTGCATGTAATAATAATAATATATATATATATATATATATATATATGTATATAAATACCCCTCTTCGTTTTATAGAGATCATGTTTAAAGGTGAAGTCACACAGCCATCGCCGAATTTGATTTTTGAAAAAAAATACACACATGCCTTTTAAGTATAGATCCCGTGCAAACAGAGCAAATGAAAAATAAAATAAATCCATTTTTCATGATGTTTTTCGTGTTCAGTCTTCTTCTACTCATTCTTCTCTTTACTCACGCAAAAAACATATACGTTAAACGTGTATTATATATATATATATATTATATACCTAAACTTTGGTATGCGTCGAGCACTACATTGGAGTGCTATTAACATTTATTGCGGGCGATTTTTCTCAAAGGGCATTATTATTATACATACCTATATAGTTGTATATAAATCCCTGTGTGGAATATATTTTTAACATTCGAAGTACACATACGAAAACCTATCCCTTTTTTTAACTTCGTTATTATTGGACTTTATATACAAACTGCGCGTATTACTACATTTAATCGGCGATGGACAAAACCATAACAATGTAGTCTAGTCCTCACCAACATTATTTATTAAAAAAAAGAATATTTTATGGGTTGTACCCGTTTCCACCGAAAGTATACCTTTTTTCTGTCCATCAATGCTCGTTTATACCAAATTATATTTGATATATTGACCATGTTTCATCAAAACATTTTCTAAGTTTTTAAAAGTTGTTATACAGTGAGATGATTATACATGAAAATTATTATTTACATTTTACAATTTTTTCTCATCTATTTAACGTTGTACTCTATATACAATTATTACTCATTAGAATTATATAATTATTTTTACAATATAATCATATGATAATAAAAAATAATATACTGTTTTTTTCAATATTTTATAATATTTAAAATAAACTGAGGTACTGTATAACAAATTGTATTTACATAGGAATTGTTTTGATGGGAATGTGATAACTGATAAATATATCATTTGGAAAAGTGCAAGGTACACGTTTTTGGTGAAAATGGGTAATTGTGGAACAAAAAGTATTAAATAATTAAACAATAATGATTACTTGATATTGTTACTTGGCTGAATACAATATAATATATATGGTAAAAAGAAATTTAAAAAGTAAATAACAATAGTCATCTACATTTATATAATATGTCTCTATACAGTCTATACACAATCTGTGCTTGCCACGTTTTATCGATATTGTTAAGGGACAGAACCCTTATTTAGAGTTATTAAAATATCACTACATTCAAAATCTAAAAATTGGCCTACAACAGACAATAAGTATACCTATGTGGCAAAATGTATTAACTAATCAGCTGTATGTATCGTTTATCGCACGTAAAGAAAACGACTTCGGAAAATAAAAATATCTTCATCTCGCCCAATTACCGAAGTGTATGCATATAAGTTCATAAGATGAAATTATTTCAGCAAGACCGAAATTTATTTATTTAAAGTGAACAAATATAATAAACAGGTCTATGACTTCATAATATCATATTATAGTATGTACTGTGTTCTCATTTAGTATGATGGCAAAAACTACCAAAATTGAGAAAAAATAAAACATTTTACTTACTTTTTCATTACACGATATATTTTTCGTAAGTTTAAAAAAAATTAACGGTGATTTTTCTGACTAAAAGAAACTCACTGTAAAAGTAAAATTCCTAGATTCTAAGGTTCATACCTTACACCAATAAAATATCGACGATCTAGTCTAAATGGTTCTTAGAATAACAATTCAATCTTCGATTTTTCCGAATAACGCCAAAAGATAGGTTAAATTTCATTAAACGTGTAAAGAAAAATTATAGACAACCATACCTCGACATTTTTGGAAGAAACACAATCAAGTACAACATCTATGAAATAATATAATTTAATTTACTATATTTTTCCCCAGTTCCGAAAATATAACAATTTATTACTATCCATTTTTTTTTTTTCATAAGAATTCCGCTTTGCTTGTTACAGCTCACGTCTTACTATATATTAAACCTATTTAAACAACTATATAATTTTTTATTGGACATTTTCGTATTAAAATATTTATCTATGCTATTTACTTTTCATTTCAAGAAAATTGCGGAAAACATCCTAAATTTACTTGGTCGCTATACTACATATTATAATAAGTATCTATACATTTATATTTCAAGATTCAGTTTTTTTCATTAAAAATATAACTTAAACTTTAGACGATACACAAAATAAAATATATAAAATAAATATGACGTGATTCAGTATAATATTAAATATACTATAGCTTTTAAAACGATGGTGGATGATTTGATTCAGGAAAAGGAAAGATATCTTACAATTATGAAAGTGTTAAAATAGCTTAATAATTATTTTAGATGGAATTTTGTAAAGTGGTTTTTTGCAAGCTCGTTGGTTGTTTGATAATTATGTAATACAATACAATCTATATTCTATAGAAATTTAGTATATATAATTTTGATAAAAAAAATATAGTGGATAGTTCCCCCGCAGCTTTCTATTAATTTCCCCAGGAATATCGTGCGCGTATATAATATTAATAACGTTAATTAATTAATTTAAGAAAAATGAATTATTATTATTATTATTATTATATCGACTATGATGTATATATTTTAATGAGAGTAATAATTCATTGTACTTCCCTACTATATATGTATAATCATACATACGCGTACACACCCATTACCGCAATATGTACGTAACTACGAAAATATCATAAAAAGCCAATTTATAAACATATTATAATTATATTTATCTTAACGCCATTCAAATAAATAATTTAAATAAGATATATCTGTAACGCCTACACTAATGATATAACATAATATAGTTTATTAATTTAAAATATTATACATAATATTTTATTCGCGCAATTAAGACGGTTACTCCTAGTTATTTACACAGCGAGCGTATTACAAATCTGATGTGACAAAAACAGTGGGATTGAGTAAGAACTGACAAAATACCCACTACCTTTGTTACACAAAATTCTGAAGACGTCTTATCTATATTCCAAGAACAACAAACCTATAACACAAATTTTAGCCAAATTTTAACAATACGAAAAAATAATTTTATTTCATAATTTAATTTTGCATTTCACGAAAAAAAAAATAGTAAAACTAATTTTTTGTTATTCTTAAAAAATAAAGGTATCGATTATAAAAGTTTTGAACTATACTGCTTCTAAACATAATATTTTATACTTAAAAAAATTAACTCCTTATATATTCCTAAATAAACTTAATATTTGTGTACATATATATACATATTATATGAAAGTTTATTTTCCACAGCAAATTATTTCAAATCAAAAGCAGAAGAATAATACATCATTTTATGAAGCTAATATTATTTCTGTTTCATTAAAACATTAAAAAATGCAAAACTGATATTAAAAAAAAAAGTAAGTACATTTATTTAAAATTCCCATTATCTTGAGAAAAAACGTGAATTTTTTGAAACTTTATTATTATTCAGCTCAAAAAAAGTTCGCTGCTCGTGCTATATACCTAAAATTACGAGTATACTACTTCTATACCTACATGCTGTGAAATGAGCTCGTACGCTATATGTTGTCACAATTTTGAAAATTCTGAAAAAAAGTTCAACTCTAAAATAAACAGTGTATATCGTGTATATTGCGTATATATACGCATGTGTGTGTGTGTGTGTATGCTCACACACTTTTATTTTTTTTTTTTTTTTTTTTTTTTTTGGGGCAATTTAAAATTTATATAAAAAAAAAAAAAAAAAATATATTGTGTAAGTTTTAAAAATAAGAATATTTTTTTTTTTTGTGCATGTTTTATTTTGTTTATTACGTGATTTTATTTATTTTTTACGACTGCCAACGACCTCTGTGAAAAAAAATAAATTAGTAGCAATTATTACGACATATATTATATTATGCTAGTACAACATAGAGTATGTACATATTCGTATAATGAGAAAAACAAAATCGTGACTTGGTAGAAATTTAATATAAAATTCGTTTTATTGTTAACGTTCAAAGCGCATTGCGTGCGACAAAAAAAAAAGAGGAAAAAACTCATCGGAAACTCGTGGAATGA